GGTTTGGGGAGTATCGTAGTAACGCGGAGAGTCTTATTGCTTCTTTGAAATCTGAAGTTTCCCTCCGTTTATCTGAAATTGAGGATCTTCGTCTTTCAATTTTAGCTTCACAGAAGTCTCTGGAGCAGGTCACCTCCATGTACAATGACTGTATTGAACTTGACGATTCTCGTCAGGAGGCGCTGAAAGCTATGAGGGAGTCCTTTGAGGATAGACATAACTCTCTGAGGTATGCCGTCGCTTATCTCCGTGATGTGATTAGCGCCTTTTCTAGACTAACTTTGGATGTAAATTGTTTTGTGAAATTCAGCGTTGCGCGCTTAGAGGATCCATCTTCACTGTCTCCTGACACTTCTGAGCTTTCTTCAGTAGTGTTTGATGCTTGCTTACAGCCTGTCGCAGAGGCTTCACGGTGGGCTGCACAAACGCATGATACCCTACACAAAGTTGTTGCAGACGAACTTGGAAACTTTGATTTTCCCGATGAATCCTTAAACACTGCGAAGTCAAATGTATCTGGGGCCTCTATTGATAAGGAAGCATCATGGCTAGCTTTAGTAATCCCAGAATTCTCTGTCAAAGCGGAGGCACAAAAGGCTTTGGATGTTATAGCGTGCGTGCAGGATGTGGTGTCCAGGGCTGATCGCCTTGCTCATTCATTGCAGGAAGAGAAGGAACGCTCGCGCAGTCTTACGGCCGCTATGGATCAAATTGCGGCAGATCTCTTGGATGAAAAAGAACGATCGGACAGCCTATTTAGCACCATTTCGGATATCAATCAGCAGCTGGAGAAAACGAAGACATACTTTGATGAACAAATGCGCCAGCAGGCTGCAGCAGCTTCTGTGGAATTGATCGCTGCGCGCCGTGCAGAAGGGCGCGCACATGAGGCAAAGCGTCGTGCTGAGGAGCAGTTGGTTTTAGTCGAGGCAGAGTTAGAGGAGGAAAGAATGGCACTACGTAAGCTTCGGGATACCTATGGTGAGCTTAAAGTTGAGGCTGAGCGCCTTACAAGGATGACGAGCTCAATTTCTGATGTCAACCAAACCTCCCGACAGGGTTGGCGCGCCGCCGAGGCTGATGACACCGATGCGAGCCGCCATATTGGGTTGCGTGATGCCCGATTGGAGGTGCTAGAGCAAGCCCAAATGCTACAAATATCGACTCTTCAAGCTGAGCTACTTTTGACTAGGAAAATGGTTCGCGAGGCGGAGTCAAGAGAAGCCATTCTGAGCCAAAGAAATCGTATTCTAGAGCAGACCTTGACAGAACAACACGAGGACGTCCAGACGACTACCACGCTGCGCGTAGAACTAGCCCAGCTCCAGTCTGAGTATACTGACTTGCTAGAGAGGTACAAAAACCTCGTAGAGAGCAGCAGCACTGCTGAAATAAGTGCAATAGAGGAGCTTAAGCAGCTCCGTCGGCAGGTCCGCCTATTGGAAACTGAACTCACAGAGGAGAAGGCACACACCAGGGCGCTTGAATTGGCTAAAAATACCCCTGGTCTAGAGGCGATGCTGCGCCAACAGGCCCTCGGTGAGACCTTGACAGGACTTTCAACGCATCTTGCCGCAGTACAGGCACAATACGCACGCCCATCTGTCTCTAACTCCGCTTCTCCGTATCGCTTTTCTCTCCCTGTGGGGGTGCTCAAAGCAAACGATGGCATCTCCGGTTCGGGTGTTACCAGCGGGAATAGTGAGGAGGGAGCAAATTTGAGAACCCCCAATCCATCGATCGATCTTCTTCAGTCCCGTATCGCGCACCTCGAGACTGTTCTCAAGGAAAAGGACAAGGCAATGGAGAAGTATGCCTCTGATAATCTTCGTCAGCAGGCGGAGATCGAAGCCCTTGAGGATAACCTCGCCAGCAAGCTTGTCGCCTTGAATCGTACAGAGCAACTAAATGAACAGTACCTTGGTACAATTGATGCATTAGCCCGCAGTAGCAAGGCGCTTCGTGCCTCCGCAGCGGTTCGGTTGTCCGTGAAAACTAATAAAACAGCGGTCTGTACGGCATCTGATCAACATTTAACTAGATCGCCGCGCGCATCACTCACGGCAGCCAGTGGTGGGGTCTCTACGGGATCAGGTCCCTCGCCTCCTCCACGTACGCCGCAGCCGCTCCTTGTGGAAACGGGGTCCTCATATAGTGAAGGTTCAGAAAGCGACGTTACTAGTACACCATTTGAGCCCATAGAGAAGGTGGTGTCGCGTTCCATTTCCCCCAAAAAGAAATCCCCTAGGGCTCGACTACGCGCGAGGCGCGAGGTCGATGAAGATGATCCCATCTCTGGAGATATTGTGAGGGTTCGTCGAAAGTCCAACATAAGGAGTGAAAGTCAAGGCAGCAGTGTGAGCCCACGTGTTTCTACCACAACCTCAAGGGCTTCAAACGTAGCTCGTAATTCCTCACTAGCGCAAACTCTACAAAGACGCAAACGTGGTCGTAAGATTTCTTGAGTACGTAAAAGGGAAGGTATGGTGACGATGAATTATCCCAAAATATGTTCTAAAGGAAGTGGGTGTTGTTTACAGTATCTTATGTTTCTCCCGTTTCTTCTGTGAAAGAAAAAAATACTTACAAGTCATCTCCATTCAATCCTTCGCTCGTTGGGGATAATTGCAATAGTGAATCTACAATAAAAAAAATAATCAATTTAAGTACAAAGACACCGAAATTATGAAGATAAAATACAAGGAAAGATCTAGTATACTTTATATTGGCGATATTTTAGGAATCATTAATTACTCGTTTATACAGCGAATATAAAACATCATTAGTTTTTAGTTCCAGTATAGCGCTTATTTCCACATGAAGGATAGACAAAATGAATACAAAAAGTTATTAAATAGAAAGATTTAGTAACTCTTTGAATTACTATTAAAAAGTCAAATGCCTTTTTGGGGAATTCCAGATATATACACATACAAAAAATACATGTAATATTATGTCCAATTCAATTGCAATGGCTCATAAATAAAACAAATTTCCACAAAGAAGAAGTCGTAACAATGAATAAAGACAAAGAAACCGAAGGAGTTTCAATCTTATGAAGGTTTTCAATGAGGAATCTGAAAGATAGTGTCCCCTTCGTGGGGAGAATTGAGGCCCGCGTGGCAGGGGGTGCAAGTCCCCCATGAGGCCACGTAGCGGTGCTTCGGTTTTCTACTGTTGTCCAATGCATCCTATACGTATGAATGCCTTCCTCCCTCTCCTCTCATTCGAGCTTTCCCTCTAGCTATTACCACTATTATTGCTATTTAATTTAACACATCCTATTGCATAACTATGGCCCCTACGATCCACCGCAACCTCACATCTGCCGAGCTCGTGGAATGGGCTCTGAAGCTGGAGAAGGACACCAAGCTGAGCGCGCGTGGTGCGCTGTGCGTGCTGTCGTACGCCAAGACCGGCCGCTCGCCGCAGGACAAGCGCATCGTTGACACCGACGATGTCACGAAGAACGTGGACTGGGGCAACGTGAACATCAAGCTCAGCGAGGACTCGTTTGCGAAGGTGAAGAAGCGCGCGACGGACTTCCTGGACAGCCGCGAGCACCTGTTCGTGGTGGACTGCTTTGCCGGGCACGACGAGCGGTACCGCATGAAGGTGCGCGTGATCACGACGCGCCCGTACCATGCGCTGTTCATGCTCGACATGCTTATCCGCCCGACCGCCGAGGAGCTCGCGAACTTTGGGGAACCGGAGTACGTGATCTACAATGCTGGTGAGCACAAGGCGGACCCGTCCGTACCCGGAGTGGGGTCAACGACGTGCGTCGCGCTGAACTTCAAGACACGGGAGGAGGTGATCCTCGGCACGGAGTACGCTGGTGAGATGAAGAAGGGCATACTGACGGTGATGTTCGAGCTGATGCCGCGGCAGGGGCACCTGTGCATGCACGCGTCCGCGAACGTTGGCAAGGATGGCGACGTGTCAGTGTTCTTTGGGCTGAGCGGGACGGGCAAGACGACCCTGTCTGCGGATCCGCACCGTGCGTTGATCGGCGATGATGAGCACGTGTGGACGGACCGCGGTGTGTTTAACATCGAGGGTGGGTGCTACGCGAAGGCGATTGGGCTGAACCCGAAGACGGAGGAGGAGATCTACAATGCGGTGCGGTTCGGCGCTGTTGCGGAGAACTGCGTGCTTGATCCCCGGACGAGGGAGATTGACTTCTACGATGAATCGATCTGCAAGAACACTCGCGTGGCATACCCACTGGACCACATCCCCGGTGCCCTGACACATGCCGTGGCCGGCCACCCGAAGAACATCATCTTCTTGACGAACGATGCGTTCGGCGTGATGCCGCCCGTGGCGCGCCTGACCCCTGAGCAGGCGATGTTCTGGTTCATCATCGGGTACACGGCGAACGTACCCGGCGTGGAGGCCGGGAGCACACCCGTGGCGAAGCCGATCTTCTCTTCATGCTTCGGTGGCCCGTTCCTCGTGCGCCACGCCACGTTCTACGGCGAGCAGCTCGCGGAGAAGATGACGAAGCACCAGAGCCGTGTGTGGCTGCTGAACACCGGTTACACCGGCGGCCGCGCGGACCGCGGTGCGAAGCGCATGTCGCTGAAGGTGACGCGCGCCGTGATCGACGCGATTCACGATGGGTCCCTCGACCGTGAGGACTACGAGGTGTATCCTGGGTGGGGTCTGCACATCCCGAAGCGGTGCGCGCACGTGCCCTCGCACATTCTGGACCCCCGCAAGGCCTGGAAGGACGTCGCCCAGTTCAACGCGACTTCGAAGGAGCTCGTGCGGATGTTCCAGGATAGCTTCAAGAAGCGCTTCGAGGCGATGGCTTCCGATGCCCTGAAGTCCGCGGTGCCCAAGTTTGTGGAAATAGCTAAGCTTTAAGGATAAGGTATTTTAAACGCATCCCGAATAGAGGAAGCGTCATAGCAAGTCAG